GCGAGGTAGGACACAACTCGCGCACATGTACGTAGGATGTAGTAGATATTTCTAAATAAATTAGGCTACTACGAATATTAATTACTGTTCTTAACGGTGCTGCATAGTAGTGCGTAGTTGCAGGTTTGGTTAGGTCTTGGCAAAAAGGTTCCACTCGCTTGAAGGTTCCACTCGCTTGAAGGTTCCACTCGCTTGAAGGTTCCACTCGCTTGTGACCTACGTTAAGGAAAAAGAAGTATTTGTAGTATAGATATCCTGTAAAGCTTATTCCATAACTAAATTGCTGCGAGGCCTCTGTTATGTTTGGTTTGCTTTACATTTGTAGACGTATTGGTGTATTAATGAATGCACTTCTGGTCGCTGTTGTTATGCTGTACATACTAAGAAAACTCATGCATTTCTTCTAACTAACGTTACTACTGTAACCTAGCACTTCTACGAGTACATTAACGGTGGTACTTAGTGACCACAACGCGACCAACCCCCATCCAATAGCCTTGTCCATTCTCCACCTGCGCACCGGTACTGCGACAAGAAGTCCAGCGAGTGTTGCAAGCAAAGTAGCTCCTGATATTACCAAGGTCGTGCTTACGGCGATGTGGTAGGGCCTGAAGTGGACAGACTGATCTGGGTGTTTTTCATGACGATGCTCGCCCTTGGTAATAATCATGTAACACCCGCTCAACCCTACGCCGAGTAAGATGTTCAGCATTGGGCCGCCAAAGCAGGCTGAGAGGGCCATGATGGGGAATCCAAGCCGCGCAACAGTGATATCGGCGACGAGATCACCTAGCGAGTTGCCAACCGCAAAGATAGTCAACCCGAGGATGGCGTCGGACATGTTGAGGATAACACCCAAGGTTCGCAGAACACCAACGACCTCGTTGGCAATAGTGCTGATCCACGCAATGGCGACGGCAAACCCAAGAAAGCAAAGTGCTGAGCGCCAATTCGGCGGGCGATTCGGCGTGGTGGTGAAGAGGATAAATGCAAGAACGCTGAGGGAACCGACCAAAGCGTAGAGCGTATGACGAAGCAAGGTACGTGGGTTGTCGGGTTCAATGTTCGCCCAAAGGACCAGGACGAGGAAGAAGGGAGCTGTAAACACCTGCACAATTACGAGCCAGCGGTTCCATTGTTTTGGCTCGATAGGTGTAGGGATTGTCGGAAGCTGCTCGGGTGACTGTGCTACAGTGTCTGAATCCGTGATATACACCTGCGGTGGTGGTTGACTGGTGGTCGTGCTGAACGATCCACCATTAGGTTGTCGGGGAGAAAGATTCGCGGGCGATTTGGACTTCGATAAGCCCATGTTTGCAGGTGTTTCCGGTGGCAGCACCAGTGATATGCTACGGGTGTGGGAGTCCCCGCTCCCGCTATGCGGCGTGGCTGCGGGTGGTAGACCGAAGTCTAAAGAAAGCTCTGCGTGGCCTCCATCGTTCTCATCTTTTTGCGGCTCGACAACTGGGAGCGTGATGGTGAGTAGGAAGACGGGTAGACTTGCGACGAGGCCCAAGATTTTGTCAAATATGTTCTTGTCCGACCAACTGGTCAACGTCGGGAATAGGGTGGAGATCAGGACGTGTGGAGTTGGTATGATCCCTGAAGGCCACCATTTTGGTATCTTGGCTGCTTCGATATGACCGAATGGATCTCTTGGGAAGAAACTTGACTCAGGTGATGCGCTAGGCGAGGGTAGACGAAGACTCTGGGGTCTAGAAGTGGATTGCGCCGACCAAGGATAATCAGTATAGGCAGGGAATGGTATTGGTGGAGAAGCGGCATCCGGTACGGTCAACTTCAGACTAGGGGGCTGGGATCGAGGATCACTTTCTGTTAGCGGAGTCGAACGAGGGCTCAGTGATGGCGAGATTGTACGGAGGGGTGCTTGATCCTCAGGACCCGGAGGCGCCAGCCTGTTAGGGGAAGGAAGTCGGTCTCTCGGTGCGACAGGACTTGGTGCTCTGGAAGAGCGGGAGGCTGGCGGAGACAACGAAATGGTCGGCGATGGAGGCGCATCCAGCATTCTGCTTGGTTCATTGGGGGTGGCGGATATGAAGGTAATGTCAGGCACGCCTTGTCCCTGCAGCGTGCTCGGGTGTAGGCGGACATTGTCGATGTCATTTGTGGAAACGGCTCGCGCTCGGTTGCCTAGACTCTGCTGGATGTCGAGATTCGGTCGGATCACATGCAGTGATGCATTGGACGCAGTTGGGTTCACATCAAATGGAGGCCGATCCGCTGGGCCTGCTGTTGAGATGTAGTTTTGCTGCTGGGCAGTTGTATAAGTAGGGTCGTCCGAATACCGCCGCAAACTGATTGGCATTGACTGAATGTTGCGCGACTTTTGCAGGGAGGAGAGTACCGCTCTGAACTCCAAAGCTCCCACCAAACTCGGTCGGATGGGAGTATGAGTGTTGCGTCGGGACATGTTCGGGCGATTGACGCGCATGTTATTTGTCAGCTCGCCCATCCAGCGTTCGCGCTCTTCTTCGTTGTCATCGTCGTCCATGGTATTGTCGCCGCCAGCGCGTTCGAGCATAGAAAAGTCGTCGATGGATACGCCGTGGCCCGGGGTCCTGCTACCAGCACTGATTTCATCGTCATGGTACTCTGGAAATTCTTCTTCCTCGCCGCCGGGGGTAACATAATGACTCCTGATGGCGGCTGCCCTCGCTCGTCGCGCCTTCCTCAAATTGAGCCACCAGTGCCAGGCGACGACAAAGGCGACGTAGAAGAGATAAAAGGCCACCATAGTGACCGACTCCCACAGATGCAGTTTCCCGTCAACGATGAAGCCCATGCTGAAGGCAGCCGCGACAAGAAAGAAGCCGACGTCACGAACGAAGCTCTTGCGCGCGACCTGGAATGGGCGAATCAGAGCCATGGAGCCCGAGACAACGGCCGTTATGAAACATGCAGCACCGATGAGCTCGCCTACAGCCAAACTCGCAGCGTGAGTGCGGAAGGCGGCAAAGGTAGAGAAGACATCGGGACTGCCATTGCCAAAGGCAAGCAGTGTCACGCCAGCCAAGCTCTCGCTCATGCCCAGCATGCGCGCAATTGTATTGAGGTTGACGCAGAAGAAGTCGCTCGCGGCAATGCCAATGGTGCTGAAGAGAAGGGCGAGCCAAAGCGTCATGAGGATGAAGGCAAAGGGCTTCGCATGCGGGAGGCGACAGTAATAGAGGGTCAGATAGGATACGACGCCGGCTTCTTCATCGGGACAGTTTGCGCGCACAAAGGCGCATTGGTCTCTGGCGTGGTGAACGAGGCGACACTCCTCGTCCTTGGTGGACAGGTCCCTCTTCTGCAATGCGCCAACTATGGCGTTGCTGTCTGCAGCTTGCGACTTGGCCCATGCTAACAGCGATATGAGGGAGATGGCGAGGATGGTGAGGGCGAAGGGTCGTGCCGAGTAACGTGAGCGGCGCAATCGCTGGGCGTGCTTGAGTATGGTGGAGTCGTCCATGGTCACGACATGTTCTTGGGTGAGTCGGAGGGGCCGCGCGAGGGAGGACGAGGGCGGGTTTTAGGTCGAGGGGAGCGTGAAGGCGGCGACGTGCGATAGCGTAACAGATAGCGGAGGACGGTGCGCGAAGCGTTTGGACTGGATCGGCTGATGCGCGACAGCAATGCGTACGTGTGTGGCAGTGTTGGCGGTTTGCGAAATAACGAACGTCATCGGAGCATGATAGCGATATGGGGAGAGAGGCCCGGACCTTAGAAGTTGGAAAGAAGGGCGACGCGGAGCGATAGAAGCACAAGGTTTCTGGATGACGGCGTTCGTCGCGCTAACAGACATGGCAAAAGTGTGGCGCAGGCATGTGGCTGAGTCTTTTTGTGGGTCGTTAGATCTTCATGGTCTTCCGCCTTCCGCTGTCACACATAAACTCTTCTTTTCGTTTCGCACTCCCAACACTTCAACACGTCCTGCGTTGTTGAAAAAGCGAGAACAGTGTATTGGTGTTGCATTTGATCCAGTTTGTGCGCGTCTACTTTTTCCTTTTCTTTCCTTGACCCCACAAGACACTTCGACGCGGCTCTTGGTTTCTTACCGTTCATCTCCGCCACTCAGGTCATCGCTCAAGGCGCCAATGAATTATCACTGCATACATCTCTCGTACATTATTGGCACCCTGAGATCATGAGAGGCTCGATAGTCTATATACTAGGCAACACCAGCTTTGTCAATGTCATCTAGTAGGCTATGTCTCCGTTACTCGTGAGCTCCTGGCTTTACTCTTTTCGATCGAAAATTCACCAGACCTCTCGATATATGCTTGTCAGTGTGGATAACTTCAACCCGTTGATATTATCACCGTATACAAGACAAGGGTAAAGCGGGTACAGAGACAGTATACCTCACCATGAAGCTTACATTAACTTCTGAAACAAAGCTTCATAGAGACCGAATGGATTGTAAGCATCTAGATGCTCTATGCCTACATCGTAACGCTCAAAACATACTTGTAGTAGGGCCAGGTATGATATATTCCAATAAATATTTACCTTTTCCCCCTAATAGGGTGCATGGCGACCTTCGTTTTACCTTGCTACTGCTCAGAATTCTCGGAGGTACCCGGATAGCCAGCTCCACCTTCAATCCACATCCCTTTGCAGATCTGTATCAGCTCTTGTGAAAGTATAGCCATATCAAGGTCTCTCTTACTGGCACTCGCTAGAGCCTTCCAACCCACCACGTGCTCTGCGCGCGTACTGTCGACGACATAGGTATAGTTGTCGAACTTGTCAGACCCGACAGCAAGCATGGCGTCCATGCCGCTGGCAAATCCGAAGACGGCGAGAAGTTGTTCGTACCTGGCCCAGTTGGCGTCTGTCATGGGTATACTAATTGTGTCTAGACGTAAGTGGAAGAAGTCGGTGGGCGTTCCACACGCAAGTCATACAAGCCACTTACAGACAACGTTCCCAAGAATGCCATCGCGTTCTACGATCGTCTGCAGAGATTCGGCCATATAGCTGTCAATAAAGGCTAAGAGCCTCTCGCGGTTATCTAGATAGAGAGCAGACCCTGTTTCGCGGATTCTACGCAGAGGGCCGAGAAAGAGACGATGCTCTTTGGCCTTGAGGTCAATTAGTTGCACAGCTTGAGAAGTAAAGAGATTGGTCGAGGCTTACATCAGATCCAGGCGTGACTACACGACAAGGCGGAGCTGATTCAGAATTAGGATCCATCCCATCAAACACTGGTGTCTCCCGATTCACACGATTGTGAGCTACTGCCATGCTGTCTGACCCAGTGAAAGGAGTCGTGTTACTGGGTGAAGCATACGTGAGTAGTCTATCATAGGCTGTGCATTTGTCTCCGCCTGAGCAGCCGACGATACGATAGTCACAACGTGATCTGTATGATCCCTTTTCCCACCCATGTTTTGGCGCGCCAGGCGGAATCAACGCGGCCTGACGCATTGAGTGTGCAACCTCTGACGCAACCGAGCCCGCTGCTGTTCTTTGCTCTTGATAAGTGACAACATGGGTAAGAGGTGCTTGCGTGTGCATGAGATTACGCGCTTCGGAGAGCCGGTTGCCAGAATCAGGGTCCGCAAACCGTGTATATTTGAGAGGCTCCACCGACCGCGGAACCGTTGACCAAGATGGAGATGACGAAGTCTCGTCAATGCGATGAGAGATATTCATTTTCTCTAGTTGAACGCGATCGAGACAATTCAAGAATTGCGCTAGATATCCAAGCTATAATATGAGATTTCTTAGGAAGAGTAGTCGGTAAAGCGAGCGAACACTGAAAGTTCTCAGCTACCTTACATTTGCTCGTGAAAGAGCTTATGAAACCTAGAAGGAAACACCTTCTGAAGCAAGTGATCCGAAAGTACCAAAGCTATGGTGAAGGCGTGGACCTTTCGAGTCTTCCAATACTGTTTCTGATTCGCCACTGTTAGTGAAAAAACCCAACAACCCAAATCAGCCATAGTTTCAAGCAGGGACTCGAATTCACCACCAGTCTCTCAAGAAATCTCGTTCGTTTCTCTATCTTCAATATCAACTAACGAGGGTATGCATACGCGCGCGAGCCAACATCGCCATAGTGTAATGCATGCATTGATCCCTCTACCCATTGACGAATCAAACACACTCGAATCATTCTTCGAAGTAAAGCATCAAGAACACCCCCGGACCTGGCATCTTTCCTGTGGCGTACAGCATGCATTGGCGTCACATCAAATGGCGGGCGCCATGGCAAAAGCGCCATCTCTCAGTACTAGAGAGGTTCCAGGCGAAAGACGCAGCTAAGGAAAAGGCTAACGCTGTTCAGAGGCGTCGAGATGAGACTGCTCGTGTATGTCTCAAGACAATCCACAACATCAACCAAACTGGCTGAACTAAAATCCAACAGCGTGTCACACTTGAGCGTCTTGAGAAAGCTGAGAGCATGTGGAATCGCTGCAAGCGCTCGATACGCTGCTCTAGTGATGGAACGTGGTTAGAAATACACATCAAGTACGGGTCATTGATTAGTGGCGGAGAGACTACTGAAATGACCAAAGATGGAAAGATAGGTGATGAAGACAGATGGAAGGTCAACAATATATTTGAGGACTGGGAAGGCGACTACACGAAAGTACTGGCAGAATATGAAATCGTCTAACGGCAATTAAGAATAGGAATAGCAACCCCTGTAGCAGATGTTGTCACGCTGTGTATGTGGTTGTATCTTCGTGCAACTCGCATTCTACGACGACAGAAATCAGACGCCACTTGTTACTGGAGTTGTGACCGCATCACAGTGAGATTGGAAAGAGTTCTACCTATAGTATGGAGTTGAAAGCAGGGGAGAGACCAAGTGTATACGATTGACCATCGAGATTCTTGCTTGAAGTCACATGCGCGTGTCGCTAATTGGATTGTCTCATTCACGAAACAGAATCATTCTCCAGCAAACGAAAGCTTTTCGATAGTCTTCAATGGTCGATGAGTCAGCTGAGAATACGCAGTAGTGGTGTGGGCGTGGCGAATACACGAGCGACATGATTCTCATGCTCTGTAGCAAAGGCCATGCCACAAACAATCTTTTACACAAAATAGGCGAGCGTGCCTCTCTCCCTCTCTCTGGTCATGATAGAATGTCTCGATCGATCGCCAACGATGAGTTACCCTTTTTCCTTATCCCGGTAGCCTCAGGCGTGCGCTCGCGGCGCCATCTCGTCTTCATTCGACGTGTTGAGGCGCACATGAAGGAATTTCATGGATATATCCAGTCTGCAGTCGGCGATAATCTGGAAGATTGGACTACAATCGACTGGACATATCTCTCTGAGAAGGCTTCGCTCGTCCAGCAAGCAGTGGATGAACTGCTTGTCTACGTTAGCCGCCATCCGAGGTCAAGGATCGCCTGCCGATTGTCAGTCGTCATCAAGCAGTTGCGGATCTTAGAAGGGTTCCTCGAAGGAGAGGTAAGTCCAGAGTAAGCTTGCTGCATGGATTCACATTTCTTGAGCTGACTGATTGAGGACTGAATTAGCTACGTCCAGTCACCAGAAGTGATGGCGAAAGGGACGAGACGTGCATCAACTATATTTTGTACAAGGATTTCTTCTAGTCCTCTCGTTGAGGGTCTCGATATGTGAATCATAGTCGCGAAAGATCGTGTTTCGCGGCAGTGCTCTAAAGGCTGGAAGAGGTTCACATTGCAATTTGACCGGACATGGAACTACTGAGCTGGTCTGGTCGCTCGTCGTACATGTGGGCGATTGGCATGCTCACGGCCATTAGTCGGTCATTTTGCTTTTGCTTAGCAAAACAAAATCAATGTTTGAATAATGAGCTGACCTTAATACCTTGTACGTGATGTGCGATTGCACAGGAGAGAAGAGGTGAGTTGTTGGGCGATCGTGGCGCCTAAGGTTAGACGAGATATGCCAAAGACGCTCCAGTCGTATAGCGTGATGCCATCGCCCTTCACTGGCGTCCGTCAAGTACGCTTCACAAGGGCCATGTTCCATCTTTTGAATGTGCATCTGCAAGGACACCTTTTCGTTCTATACTGCTGAGGGATTGATTTTCACTATGAAGACTAGCTATGTCAACAGGACCATACCCGTCTTCGTCCCTTCCGTCTCAGCCCCCTACCTTCCAAAGTTCAATACGATTCCGCTTAACCAAAAGTCGAGTTCAGCGGTCCAAACTTGATGTTGCTATAGACAACCGTAGCATCAGCGTGTTGGCTCTCGACATCTGCTGGTACGCCGCTCGATGTCTCGCACTCTCCCCTGCCAGTACCTAGATCGGTGTCTGGGTTCTTGTCTGTGGGATATGTCGAGTCAAGCCAGAGCATGTTGCTGTAATGGTCGTCCCACAGACTCATCACAAGGACCATACCGTTGGCAAGAGCCTTTGCCATGTTCGCCATACCGCCCTTGTCTTTGAATGTGTATGTGTCTCCGAAAACGGCCTTCTGCTGGTCGCAGAACTTAGTTGTGATAGAGTTGCCCTCTACGCCAGGGACGGCAGATGCAGGCTGCGCAATAGTCTTGCCGTTTTGGACATAGAAGCGCTTGATCTCCATGGCGTCGCCAGTGCCGATGAATTGTGTGACCACGGTGAATTTCTTTGACGTGTCCACAGTCTTGCCCTTGCCATAGAAATCTTTGACACCCATGCGATAGCTGTTGAAGTCGCAGCCGTCCGGATCGCATACACCAGCGTAACGGTCGGCAGAATCCGTACCGCCGCAACCGTCTCCGTCGCAACGAGATTGTTCGATCGTGGAACATGAGTGTGGGGTAACTGCCGTGCTGACAGAGTTCGCTTCCCAGATATCCATCTCTGCGCAGCACGAACCGTGGCCTCCAACACCTGCATTTGCATCATTGGAAGATGGCTTCCAGCCCTCAACATTACCCTGCGTATGTCTGAGCATCCGAAGCAAAACGCTAAGATCGATTGGGACTTACCTCGCCATTGATGAACTTCAGATCCCGTGGACACTGGGCATCGCAATACCCTGTGCCATACTTGGCGCCGGCTTTGTTAGTCGAGTACTTCTTCAATCCGCCGTCTGCATCCATGGAAACGAAGTACAAGGCACCATTGAAGCCACATGGCAGGTTCGACACATCAACGTCGAAAGTAAACTCTTGGTTTCCTGTAAACTTGAACATCTGTTCAAACTTGGTTTAGTCTATGATCGCATGTATGAATGACTCGCTTACTTCGTAAGTAGTGTCGTCCTTCATCAGGTATGTTCGAGATCCAATGTTCGTCGAATAAGAGCCCTTGGTGATGAACTTCAACTTCAAAGAGTTACTGCCAGCGGTAATGCCATATGTGCCACTGTAATCGGCACCGTCGACGGCACAGTTAGCAGCACATGCTTTGTTGTTTGGGCAGGCTGTCGCATCCCATTCATTGCCTGTATAGCAGTTATCGTAACTAGTCTTCCGTCAGCAACGAAGTTTGCGCCAGTTATTATTGAACATTACCCTTCTTTCTTGTGGAGCCATCGCCAATTAGCATCGATGACAATCTTGCCATTCTTGTTTGTGCAGCTGCCCTTCGCAGTGCAAGACTGCCATGTCATTCCGGGATGGGTTTCTGTTTGCTGCGTACCAACGAGCTGCCCATGACCCACTTGGAGTAGAGCGGCAGCAAGGACGAAGTACTGATACATGATGGAGAGTACAGGCTTTGAGTTTTCTGTGTCGTGGTGCACTGGGTTCACAGAATATGCATACAAACTGTGGAACGCACAGTGTCAGTCGTCTTTTAAGTCTTGTTCCCGGTTGATCCCATTCGCACTTTGTTGTATATGCTGTATATTTGACTTTGAATTGATGAAATGCTAACTAGCAGATGACATGCGTTGTATGCAGCGATTGGTGGTTCGGTGGTTTGTCCACCAGTTAGTAATGTAGCGCCATTCACCATCGTTTAGAGACAAATCTACATTGATGTCAGGGAATATCTTACCACGGCTGCAGGCAGCACAAGTGGATTGGAAACACCACTTGCTGTTACACCGACCCTTACGGATCCACAAGACAATCTCGGTGTAATATAACTGGAGGGGTAAGCTGCGGAATCTCGCCGTGAGAGCTGGTAATATTGATCCGACGGAGGGTGCGATGCCACCCCATCGGGTGCCCGTCCGGCTAAGCATACGAAGCACATCGAAGCTCAATGCCATGCGCTGGGCGCCTAGTAATTTAGAACTGACACGACGACACCGAGCCGATGGCAGATTTAGAGTGACTATAACGCATCGTAGAGCGAATGCCGTGTTATATGTCTGAACCCTTGATGGGTCGTGATATCGCCGCCCAGCAGTGAGTTGCTGCGTGGACGAAGAAGTGATTATGGAAAAATGCTGTCTGTTGGAAATCGGTAATACGTGTGACATTGGGGGAATTTCAACGACGCAACGGTCCTTCCGGCGAGTAGATGAGAAGATGGCCACGAGACTGGTAGTGAAAGACGACTGGGATTCCCCGCTTTCGACTCGGAGAAATCTCTATGCACGGGGCAGAACCGAACTGCCGGCGAATCAGAGTACGGGCGCATCAATGATGGCGGTGCTGCACCATGACTGGATGGATGAATGGTACGTCGAGCTAAAGTGCAAGAATGTGGTTGGTGTTCATAGATGGCACTGCGAACTGGATTTCGCGTCCCTGCGCTCAACTCCCGAAATTAAGTCCGACACCAAAGGTTATGTAATCAACTGTGATTAGTCAGTAAGCTACAGCTCTGCGCTAGTCCTCTGATAGGCTCAGGAGTTCTCGGGACATTTTTGCGGGGCGTCTGATTCATGAGACAATACGTTGGGATCATTGATCCACCGACAGCACCTGCCACGCCCATCATCGCACGTCATAGTTACCATCTATCATTCACCATGTCCGCTCCGGGTGCCGAGTGGATAAGCGATAGGTCTCGCGATAACTCTCCAGAAGCTCTCAACTCCACAGAAGGTCAAGATGGCGCGTCTCAGCGACGCACCAGCAAAAAGCGCAAAGTGTTGTCGTGCTACGCGTGTCGCAACCGCAAGATGAAGTGTGATCGCGTGTTTCCAGTGTGTGGCCGATGCCAAAAGACTGGCAGAGGCCACGAGTGTACATACGATCCTCGGCTGCTCGAAGAGTCCCACTCTGACGCGGGCGCTGCGTCGATTGCCCTCGCCGAGCGGCCAGCTGATAGCAACCCTTCCTCGGACTCACCAGATGCACTGCAATGGAAGCTCAGAACCCAAGAGAGACGGATCGCGATGTTGGAGCACAAGCTTGCCACAAGGGACGACACCAGAAACCCCTCGCAATTCGAGGCCGTTGTCCCTGACGAGCCCGAGATCAAAGAAGAAATCATGTTCAGAGGCAAAGGTTTCAAATCTCACTTCAATGGCGCAACAAGCATCATGAGCATGATATCTATGGTATATTTCACAAGCCCAGACCCTGATCCCCGTGTACCAACGGCTGACCATCATCAAGAATTACGAGCTGCAGGCATTTACACGGGAAGCCTTGACTGTTGACCACTCTATCATGCGCGTCAAAACTGACTTCAAAAACTTCCGCGACCAGAGGAAGAAGTCCGCAAAGGCCAAGACCGTAAGATATTCCGACATCGGCCTGGAAGTCTTCGCTGTCCTCCCTACGAAGAGTACGGTCGATGCACAAGTCGCTCTCTATTTCCAGACCTGGGAGAGGAGCTACAGGATTCTACACGAGCCATCTTTCTGGAAAGAGTACCGCATATTCTGGGAATCAGATCAAGACAAAAAGAGCTCAGTCAGCTTTGCCGTCTTACTTCTCTTGCTTATTGCAATCTCAAAGTGTCTCGCCCCAAAAGATGACGTCTTCATTGGCGACACGACTGCAGACCGGCAAGCAGCCCTTGAACTCATCGATATATGTGATGCCTGGATCGGCGAGCAGCCCCGCAAGCGGGTCACTTTGTCTTTCTTCCAATTACATTGCTTGTCGCTGCTTGCTAAGCGTGTCAATTGTGTCCGACTGAAGCAAGACTGGATAGCATCGGGAGATTTACTTCGACTCTCCATTACATCCGGTATGCATCGTGATCCGTGTCTGGTCGGGCATGGGAAAATCTCACCTTTCGATGAGCAAATGAAGAAGCGACTGTGGGTCACTGTCATGGAATTAGAACTCCAATCTTCCATCGAGAGCGGGTTTCAATCTGGACTTACCGGACTGTACTTCGATACTCCTGCGCCTGCGAATCTTGCCGATGAAGCTTTCTCACCAGACACGCAACACGTGCCATTGGGTCAGCCCACTGAATACTTCACGTCAGCATCATACCTCGCAATGACTCTAAAATCACTTCCACTTCGTGTTCATCTCACGCAGCTGCTGAATACACCTTCTAGTGTCCTCCGTTACACCGACGTACTGCACTACGATGCGCAGATCCGTTCTGCATTAGCGATCCTCCCCGTTTGGAATGACGACAGCGCACTTGTGCCTTCTACGCTTCTTCGTTTGCAACTGCGTCAGTATCTTTTGTTGCTACATAAACCGTACGCAAAACTGGCTCACACAAACGATCGCTATCTGCATTCTTTCACGACGTGCGTGGATACCTGCAGCTCGTTATTGGCAATGCACGATTGCCTGATATCGAGAGGTATCTTGGCACTTCACAACTTCCGGAACGATGTGATCAGGGTCGGTCTGGCACTTTCTCAGATCGTATACCACAATTGTGCTCGTCGAAAGGTCAAATCGTTCACGTCCTATACCGCAGAGACTGAAACTCAGGATGTAGACCATCATACACATTTTGCGGATCTTACTCTTCCAAATCGTTCAGTTGGCCCGGACTCACGAATGGATTTGGACCTCGCGATACTGCCACAAGATCCCTTTCTTGCAAGAACACTGTGCACATCTTCAATCGATATCCTGGAACGTACGAGGCAGATCTTCGAAGTCAAAGTCTTTCGACTTGGTACGGGATATATGGAGTGCTGGCTGTACGTACCATCGCAGAGGATTCGTATGAGACATTTGCTAATCGTTTTGGTCCTATCCGTATAGTATGTCTGCTGCAGTAGGCATGCTGCCCCCTCCTCCTTCGCCTGCCACTTCCATAGCATACATCAACAACGCAAGCGATGACATACTCTCGAGATGCCGAAAAACTCTAGACTTATTCACCACGTTGGCTTTCAGGGTGCTAGCTCTACAGCAAGACCCCACTAATAGTTTAGCCTCTTCTCTTCGGTCTACTATGAGTACCACAAAAGAAGCCGGATCTACGATTGGGAATGCCGAAGGTGCGGCTCCCACCTCGCTGGACAGGCTGGACATGAACCTTAATCTTGCCGATGGTGCTAAAGACATGAACGGGACCTTTGATGTGCTGCAGGATATGCAGGTCGATATGAGTGGCTGGTCATTCCCTGACTTCTGGGCGTTCGATCTCGGTGGTGACTTCTAACATAATTATACAGCGGAGACTATGTATGCACGCATGATCCCAATTACGTATAGTCATGATAATGCGAGCGAGAAGGGAAGAATCTGATGATATGGTAGCTACTTGAAAGGATGACTAGCAATTAGCCGGAGCTAGAGCCAGAGCGCCTTGACGACGTGATTGCGTATGCGGTATGGTTCCCTCGATTCTTAGCACTCTTATGGCTGACTGGACGGGAGTGTTGCAGGAAATATATGTTTTCCGACAAAGGTCCATCAAGGCAACTAGTACCTAAAGCATGCAGAGCTAACACGCAGCAACAACATAAAGAGACTACGCGTCAAGAGGACATTTTGTATTCCATTACACTAAGCTATCTGGAACAGATGAGAACTTTGAGTGAAGTATAAAAACTGAGTGAGACGAGTCCTATAACAGCGGAGCTTCCGATGATTGGAATTGATATCGAAGTTAGTGGAAGTTTAATTCAGTCTGACTCCTTTCGAAAAGAGTGATTAGGAATTCTCAAACTTCCAATCAAGTCATTAGTCAGTTGTACATTCCGACTATGTAGACGCTATGGTATAATCGAGACGCATGCTGCATATCAACGTCCTGATATTCAGGGTTTGCTGTAACCCTTTTCTTTCCAAGAGCTTCTGCAACACCCTCGAGTTGTTTGTTTTTTCCATGTTGCTCAGGCAGATGAACTTACCCGTCGCCTAGGCGCGATGTACTTCGAAGCGGACGTTGGCTCATGGCCTGCGCAAGATGAAAACGGACCCTGAACGTTCGAATAAGATATCTTCTACTTTGAGTCCACTTCTTGGTGGTTTCGGTGGCCAAAGGATGATATTGGGAAGTTCTGGTTCGAGGAATATCTCGAGAGGTATATACCAGGCCAGCGGCTTTCCGATCACTCTATTCTTTTTCTTGCGCCGATCAGGTTTTGGCACCAGATGTGGCACAAGGTCGTCGTTCAACGCTCCTGGCATTTTTTGTCGATGATCCTTCCCTATCAATCCTTTCAGTAATTTCATGTTCTAACGTGATCGTTAACAACAGAATATCCAGGTTCAGAGAGGAAAACGCCAGACGAAGCATTTTAATGCCAACCAGAGTCGCAGTATGTGGAAACAATGTAATCTATGGGCGAGCCACAACGTTGTATGTACGGGCAACTTCACAATGTGGATGTATAATATGGAACATTTAGTCGGCCGTAGTCCCTTAAAGATAACCATTCTTAGTCAAAGCCATGTCTCGTATATCTTTGCTGAATACGTTGAGTCCCTATACTGACAAGGGCAGCACAGGAACAAGAATGAAACGTGTGAACTGCTTGGACCCAAGTATCGATTGCATCCCATTTTCTGATTGGAAAACATGAAAACTATCTGTCGCACACATTACACGCTACAAATCACAGCCACTTGTTTCAAATTTCTATCATCGATCTCAATCATTTATGCACACCTGTTTGGTTGTGTGCGTTCTTCAGTCCGGTACAATCAGTGCAGTTGGTGCAACTATAACTGTCAGCCTTCTCTGCGCCACTCCAATCCCTGGTCTCACTGAGCAGGCACATATGATGCTACGTACTTGATGCAGTCGGTACAGTCAGTACAATTGCGACATTCCTCACAATTATCGCAGCCGGTGCAATTCTGGCAGTAACTGCTACTTTCGCAATCCGTGCAATTCTGACAGTACGTAGAGTCTTTACAGCGCGTACAATTACGACACCCAGTACAGTCTGTACGCAAATTAGTCCGCGGTTGTAGGAGTTGCTTGATGGCAGGAAGTGGTCAAGGTGACCGAAGAGACAGATGATTTCCAAGAAGGTGGCATGGAAAAGTCCATACTATTGCAGCCGATACAATTGTGGCACGACGTGTCCTTGTTACAATCGATACAGTTCTTACAATATGAGCAGTCTGAGTAGATAAGCCGGAATCAAATCCCAAGATGTACTGATCATGAGGGCAAGAGTAGGTTGATACGCCATAACGTGCGGCGTATGGGGCGTGGGATCATAGAATTATGGGAACACCATTGCCGAGGGCGTACCTTTGCAATCTGTACAGTTTCGGCCTACAATCGTTGATTTGGAGTTAGACTTGAAGTTTTTCGAAGCATGCTACAAACTTACAGTCCTTGCAGCCAGTGCAGTTGGTGTTATTATGATTACCGTTGCCAGAACCTGAGGAAGTTACTGCGCGGAGTGACGATTCACCACAACCCATGTTGAACGTACTTTCTGGGCTTACAATGAGAGAATAAAAGTTCGATAAGACTACGAAGTAGCTTTAGGAGCAAAAGACGTATGAATATGCATAACTTGTTCCCCAGTTTATAGGTGAGGGGACGTGACGGGAAGGGCATGCAGCCACGACGTCATTTCTGACATGCATAGGTATGATAAGCTTGGAACGCCATCGGTACCGATAAGGCGCCCTTCAACATCAACCTGATATATGATCTACCGATTGGAAACTTGTAAAGATCATTTGGGCCCTAGCGCCCGAACTAATTACATACTGTGGCTCGAAGATATAACAGATATTCCTTTGCTGGCGCATCTAGATGACGCCATTACGCCCGCTGTCTATCGTTTTGGAATCCTTCGAACAAAGATCGCGTGAGTGCGGAGTATTTCAGGATCAGGCGTGTTTGTTACGAACTCCGATTTCGTCGACAAGACCACTGCAGTTAGAGCAACCAACACATGACCGACAACCATTGCATCTCGAGCAGTCCACCAAATCCGTAGAGTTAGTACAACGACTAGAATTGACGCAATTAGTACAGTCTTCGAGCCGACTGGAGTTGACGCAGTCTGTGCAGTTGGTGGGTCTACTTGAGGTAATGCAACCTGTTGACCTTTCCATTCGACTGCACTCAACATTATTATCGTCCAAGCTTGGAGCTAGTCTTTCCTAAGGCCCAGATGGAGGGGCAGAATATTGTCGAGGTGGTATTACAGTACTTTGGTGAGGTTGAGGCCTCCGAGGTATTTGTGCATCCTGATGGGATGATCGCGGCCGATGATTCCCAGGAGGAGAATCTTCTGGTGGTCTCCGTGAATATACTTCGATTGGATTCTGGTATCCATGATCTCAGAGACCTGTAGGTGAGCCAGCAGCAGATGCTTGTGAAGGCTCAGTTCGATGAAAAGGCCGGACAAGAGGTGTCGAAGGTGCCGTAGACCAATAATCAGGCGCAGGGCTGTATGCTGGAGGAGGTCCGAGCAATTCTGACAAGGCGTCGTTTGGAATGCTAGGACGACCTTGATGATCAGGATAAAGCCCAGTAGGAGGTGGTGTGCCATCGACGCCAGCGCGCTTTCGGGCTGTGTGATATATCAGTCATGCGTCTTAGTTGCTACAATGGCTGTGAATTGAAATAACCGATACACACGTACAATTTTGCTCAGCCACACCGTAAGCTGTGTCGTATAGCCTGGTTGGTCACTTGAAATAGCGGTAGTGGCAAGTCCGTCATAGATGAACATACAAAGGTCCTTCATTGAAGTACACACAAGCATAATCGGACAAACGCAAGTCGTTGTGACACCAGACATCAACTTGCGCGTCAGCAAACCCTGAGAGGATAAATCAAGCAAACCGAAGTAGATGGAATAGCTCTCGAAAGCGAGGAATAGGTTTTCAAGACGTCGTATGAAAACTGGTCTGTCGGTGTTGATCTTGTCGTTCGTACATCTTGTCCCGTGTCGAAACCTAAATTCCGATTCCCATTTATGTTTCGCTGCACCTCGAACAATGTACGTCTCATCAAGGGCCCATAAGGCTGTGCGAGATATCATAGGCGAAGGACAGTTGTGGCGTGGTCGCTACGGCTTCCCATTGTTGGAAAATCAAGTCAGCCACTTCGTCTTTGTACCTAGGTAGTTTAGCGGCAGTCTCGTAATTCGCTGCATGGGGCAATGATGTGCTGTTTCCTTATTTCCGTGACGTGCTCAACAAAATCAACCGTCACCCTTTGCAATCTCTGCCCATCGCGACGTGCAATGCCGCTTCGAACCTGTCTCGTACTTTATGCTTGCTTGTAATCACGAATAGAAAGTTACAATGACGGACCGAAGTGTCGACGCAGAAAAGCATGCAGACCAGGAAGACCATCCCACCACAAAGACTGTAGATGATGTCCAGCGCAACCTACAGACATGGCCGAGCGCGCACGACGTCGAGATACAGGAAGCCACATTGGACGTCGGAGCCGAAAATCAAGCAGCACAAAATCCGCAGGTTAAGTCACATCAACCTGCTCTTACACGCATGCTCTCGCGCCGCTCGGCAGCATCGCTTGATCCCGGTCCAGCTCCTGACGGTGGCCTCACAGCTTGGACCCAGGTCCTCTGCACCCACCTGACAATTTTGACCACCTTTGGTTTCTTTACATCATTCGGCGTATACCAAACGTACTACGAAAACACACTCGGAATCTCGCCTTCGACGATATCATGGATTGGTTCCCTCCAGGTCTTCCTGCTTTTCTTCCTTGGTACTTTTACAGGCCGTGCTACGGATGCTGGGCTCTTCCGCCCAGTTTATATCGCTGGCGCATGCTTCCAGATACTTGGGATCTTCACGTTGGCCGAGAGCAAAAGCGTTTGGCATGTCTTTCTCTCCCAGGGCGTGTGTCTAGGCATTGCAAACGGGCTGCAGTTTTGCCCTTCGATGGCCCTGGTATCTACCTACTTTGTCAAGCGTCGTGCCTTTGCGCTCGGCTTCACAGCGCTCGGATCCTGCACTGGCGGTGTCATCTTCCCAGTTATTGTGCAACAATGCTTGCCTAGCTTAGGCTTCCCGTGGACTATACGTATCATTGGCTTCATTATGCTGCTCATGAACGCCATTACCATTGCCTTGTATCGTACACGGCTCCCACCTAGGAAGACTGGCCCGCTAGTGGATTGGGCAAGCTTCAAGGAATTACCCTATGCACTGTACTGCACTGGCGCCTTTTTCAGTTTTTGGGGCTTATATTTCGCGTTCTTCTACATTGGGAGTTACGCGCGGAATGTTCTTGGCGCCAGTTACCAGCAGAGTATCAACCTGCTTCTCGTGCAGGTTTGCATGGGGTTTGTCTTTCGCCTATTACCTACGTATTATGCTGATAAGATTGGGGGCCTCAACGTTCTCATACCTTTCGCTTTCATCTGTGGTGTCATGATGTTCGCATGGATTGGGATCAAGTCCATGGCTACCCTGTACGTATTTGCTGTCATATACGGAAGTGGAAGCGCCGTTATACAGGCACTTTGGCCGGCCGTGATCGGCAGTATGAGCCGTGAAAAGGACCTGAAAAAGTCAGGTGTGAGGATGGGAATGGCTTTTACCGTCGTGAGCGTGTCAAGTTTCACAGGGCCACCGCTAGCTGGCGCGCTCATCCAAAGTCACAACGGTAGTTATACGTACGCAAATGTGTGGGCAGGTATGTCGTTCATCGTTGGAGGCTGTCTACTACTGGCTACCAGGGTATCTCTGGTGGGCTGGGACTGGAAGGCAAAAGTATAGTGATAGTAGATCTAGTTAAGTTCTTTTAGACTTTCCGCTCTTTACTCTTTTCTTCTGTTGCTTTCCACCTAGGCTCTGAATCTGCTCCTGTCTTTCTTCTTCCTGTTTCCAGAAGGTGATATTGTTCACAGAAACGCCCCTTCCTGCCGAAACTAACACATGTGCTTCATACGATCTACAGGTCAGTGAGATTCTCAACCCTTGTCATCGTGGAAACCATGCTTGAACTATCAGCCCTTCTTGTCACCTAAAGTAGTGACCCTTGCTAGCAAACCAGGCTGTTCTCTCTCCTTGGTCATTTTTGCATGCCAGTCCGCCTCAACCTTGGCTGAATTCTTCTTGACTCGCGCTGTATTCCATCTCATATAATAGCAGCAGAGTGGGAAAAGGACAGTATCTGCCATAACCCAAGCGAATAAAATGCCAAAGTTTAAGCCGACGCGCGGGTGTAGATCGAACAAGATGGATCGTGTGAGCTCTACGACGTTGTGCATAGGCCATCCATAACCCCAGCGATAAAAGCCTGGAGCTAGCTCAAGGGCGTAGAAGCCAGTTGCTACATTGCTGATAACCCAGAAAATCAACCACAAGGCTGTCCAAGGAGTTCCTAGAAGCATAGCCATATTCTCACTGGCCAAACCAAACGCGATCATACCGATCCAGTTGCCCATCCAATATACCAAGAAGGTGCCGCTGCCGTATGCGTTGGGATTATCAGCAGGTTGATCGTGGGCTGCTTTGGGCCGGTCCATAGGCATGAGAAAGGCGAGGCTGACGAAAGAATAGACGAGTGAAAGTAGAAAGTAGGATGCGACAGTTGCAACGTAGCGCCACACGATGAGCTGGTAGAAGTGCAGCGGTGGATGACCTCTAGGCGAGAGGTACTTTAGATGAATGGGTAGAAAGAACGTAAAGCTGAAAAAGGAGATGATGACTAGATATCGTCGATTAAGTCAGCATATGTCTCGAGTTATGTTTTTACGAGGAAATTACTAACTTAAGTAGATCAAGCCTATACTGACCGCGGGTGTCGCGATAGGTGGTCCAAAGGGACGCAGATCATAGACTGTGAATTCAATGCCCGGGGTAAGAGCCTGGGGCGAAACGTCGACGTGCATGTCGATAACTGAAACGTTATCCTTGAGGAGATGTGCGATCCACGCGCGACCGAAATCCGTCACGACACGCTTTTGGAGCGTGTTCATACTGGGTACGATATAAGTCGAGGACGTAGTCTGGTCACGCGCAGAGTTATAAGTGATCTGGCAAGCGCCCAACGGATCATAACTCGCGTTGCCCTGCCTCACTGCAGCCTCGAGCATTGCTGTTGCATTGGGGTTGATCACGACGGCTGCCCAGGCGTGGAAGTCGTAAACACTGTCTCGTACTTCGAGTGGATCGTTGTCGAAGTCGCCGGGTGCAGCAAAAGTATAGCCCGGAACCACACCACCGTCATCAACGATGTTGCGAATGGCCTGAGTGACGAATGGACCGACGAAAGGTGTGATTTCTGTATAAGGCGGTTGACCGTCGAAGTCGACAACCCAGACGCTCAGGTTGGTAACATTCGCCTTCTGACGGAACAAAGCACCCCAAAAGAGACACAAGAAAGTCATGATTGCGACGGCGAGGATCAGGTTGGTGCGGAGCCAGAGTTTGATCACGTGTAGTCTGACGCCAGCCATGGACGAGTGGAAGAATCCAACAGGCTTCTGATCGAATTCGATTCGGCGACTGCTCTTCGTGCGGTCACGCTGTAGTACCGTCGGCCTTACTAAAGCAGAGTTGATACCGTGGTTCGTCTCGCGCTCGAAGGGGGCGGCCTGCTGCTGTACGCGAGCGGAGTCGGTTGTTGTGAGCACATGCTCTCCAATGTCTGACTCGCTGGACGAGCTGGAGTCATATCCGTGGTGATACTGCGGAGCAATCTGGCAACCAAGCATGGGATTAGACATTTTGAGCGCCGTGAGAATTTACAGACGACGCTTCAATTGTTCTTAATATGTCCCAAGGCCGTGGCAGTTAGTGCTGCTGAGGGTTGCTGACTGATCACCCTAAACTCACTAGTGTCTAAGTTCTGCCCATGCACAATGCTTGGTCATCGCCAGGGCTGACTTAGCCACCGATATCTGTGCCGGATGGTACACTGGAATGACAAACGACTTACGAAAGGACTCGCTAAACGAAAGGGGGATTGGAATCATGGGGAGCGCCTCAGCTGTCGCATGAGCACCTACCTTCACCCAAGCATCCGCCTTAGCCTAGGTATCTGCTGCTGCCTGAGCTTCTACCAAGCTGTCAGCACGAATGGCGAATTGCTAATGCAATATCGCTCCTCATCTTGAGCCCCCGATGGTCGCTCAGGTTGTCCCTCACGAAGCACTGGGATGTAAAGGTAAAAGGATCAATAGACGTAGAGTAAATGAGAGTAGAGTTGAAATAAAACTGAAGTGGAGTAGAAGGTAAGCGAGTCAAAGTTGTTTGCTTTTGAGTTCGAGTACGAGGCGGGAGTGCTCAAGGATGAGAGAGATTCGCGAGGTAACGCAGACTCATGTGAGAGCGTTCGTGAGGCGACTTACACTACATTGAGGTTACCATCCAACGATGTTCTGTCCCTGCTCAATTGCCTTTCAATTCATTACATTGAGCGTGTAGTAGAGATGGAAGTATTGCTCGAGTGGCGGGTTATACGGGTTGCATTCCAAGGTTGGCTGACATAAGCCATGTTCTACGGAGGGAAACAACTGGCCGCGGTTTCGCGACGCAATACGCGCCCCATGTCCACTGCGCAACGCTCGTTATGACGGACACCTATACATGTGGCAACCCTCGCATTTGCACAGTACCTAACCGTCGGTACTTACTGCTCTACGCATTTACAAAAAGGGGGCATGTTGGGTAGAGAACCCAGGGGTGGTCGCGGCTTCCGACGCGGCAAAGGACTGGGTAGAGACAAGACACAGATAGTACGATACAGCCAAGTCGCGGAAAACATTGCTAAATTGTATTGCAGTGGGAGTGGAAATCATACACGCCTGGTGCTGAAGTCTACGAACAGCTATGGCGCGTTCGCAAGGAGCCTGCAATCGTCACCGCACGGCTCCCCGACGACTGCCCCATACCAAATGCGCGAACACGAATAATCTACCGTCGGCAGACCAAGGATGCTATAAAGCGAGAGCGATACACTGTAGAGATAACACACATTAGCCAACCTGAAGACAGACATGATCGCATTGATCGCACGGAGGTTGAGGATGTGGATTTTACACGTATCATGCAGTACGTGTCTCCGGCCGAACTGGAGCGCTATGAAACAGAGCAGTTCAGACTCGAGGCAGAGGCCGAGGCAGTCGCGATACGCACAGAAGCTGAGGACCTAGCACGTCGGCAACTGCATAAGAATACAAAGCTACCAAACACCAACAGAGGAAGTCGTATGCTCAGTGGGCTGGAACTTCCTGTCAGTTTGCCCACAAGAGCTAGAGGTAGGCCCAGAAGAAGTTGTGGAAGAAGTAGGGGAAGAACGGGAGATCTGAAATTTGATTCTCGGCAGCTTGAGGATGAGACACGCGAAGAGTTGGTGGACAGCGAGCCCATCACGACTCGTTGCCTGACCGACTACATTAGACAGCCAATTCAGACATCTCCCGGTGTGGCCCGTTCAGCCTTTGTTGTCAACAGCGCCCTGCCTGTATCATCAATCCCAACGAGGCTTTCTACTTCTCTTCCTCAGCAGGGATATACAGGGCTTTCGGTTTTGGAAAACGACGTAGGCCTGGCGCCGGCTAGCCGCGATGCAAAGCCTCTATCCAACACCTCAAACGACATGCTTCTACACAGACCGCTTCCCTTTGATCAGTCGTCGACTACAGCGTCCGACTCAGATGACACTATACCTGCACAGCCGCCGCCGCATCACGAATCTAATGCCGACGTGGACAACGATACCCTACACATGCACGCAGTGCCGTCAGACAACCATTCATCTGAGTATAGCAAGAAAGACGAGGAAGATGCAGAGGGAGCAGAAGAGTACGTGGTTGAAGCCATCGTCAATCACTTTCAGGAGGATGGGAAGAAGTACTACCTCGTCAAATGGGATGGATATGAGGATAGTCGCGATTGGCTTCCCGAAGAAGATCTTGAGGGTGCGGCGGATTTGGTCGCTGAATACAACGAGCGACTTGGAGGCAGAAACAAAAAAGTAAAGTTGAGATAGTATGAGCTGCGATTGAAACCCCACTTCTATCTCCACCGCGACGTCTTAGTGTAGCGATGAGAACATTGATCTTTCCAGTTTTCATTGCAAGCATGAAGGACTCACAGTTCACTCCGCTGTAAACCCCTATCGTCGCAAATGCTATGTGTCTATGTTCAATGCAGATGTATCGATGCTGTTCGCGGATATATGCTATCGTTGACAGAATCGATCTTCAAATCACTTTGCATATTGCTTCTTACAATCGCCTGTCTTCTCTTCTTATTTGTTTCCCAGTTTTTCAAAGTGAACGTCATGGTGACACAGTCGTGCGTCGATGATCCATCTCACCGTAATCACATCCTAGCAGATATCCCCGTGGAACAATGGATCTCCTATGCTGTGTACGGGAAACTCGGAATAATTTATTTCACATGCGTGATCATCATATCTTCACTGGGTCTCATTGTACATGTTGTATACAGAAATAAAATTGATAACGAGACTAAAAATACAGGTGAAAGTTCTCGAGAAAGTAATATTCGCGGACGACGCCTGCGTCTGTTATGTTCGTTGCAAGGTCGTCTGGTTGCAATCGACACGATGACTTGGCTGGAACAGAGCTTCACCTGTGTGTCTTAAGCATCTTGCCTGCACGCTTGACTGTGTGGGTCAAACCAGAAGCCATGCTCTGCTTTCTTTTGCCAGTTGTCTTGGTGCGTGAACTTTCTTCCGGGCCTGTATCGTGCCATTCCTGCGTCAACTGAGTGGAAATTTCCTTATCGTCTTGGATCATATACTCCAACATATCCTCCGATATATCCTCTCCGACTTGCGCTTTTGAGGGCTGCTGTGAGAGCTGAGTGGAAATTTCCTCATCGTCTTGGAACATATCCTCCGGTATATCCTCTCCGACTTCCGCTTTTAAAGGCTGCTGTGAGAGTTGAGTGGCTATCTCTTTGTCGTCCTCGAGACATGCACCAATATCGTCTAGCACTTGAGCCGGCATTACAGGAAAAGTAGGCTCAATTTTGACGTTGGTAGAGAGTTTTTCTGAGCCATGGCTTGGAGAAGTTGTTACAGAAGATGATACTGGAGATGGTGTAGCATCGTCGAATTCTTTCGACGAAGAGCTGAACTCTGATAGTGATGGGCTCAATGGAGGGGGTTCAAGACTGAATTGGTAATTGCCAACGGGAGGAACCATGTGTGGGTCGTTGGAGATTTCTGGTTTGACGAACTTGTTCCCAGGACGAGGTGATAGAAGCAACGCTGGATCTTTCCGCGTCCTAGGTTGTTGTCGCGAACCATTGCTCTGATGGCCTCGGCACGGTTTAGACGATACTCGTCGCAATTCCTGCAAATCCTGCAGAAAAGGGCATAAAAATTCGCTCTCCTTTGCGTAATTTAGATCAATTCGGTTTTTCCTTGTGTAATCGCAGAACTTGAGTGGATCCGAAAAGATTGTCAATGTGCCTCCCTTACGGAGCACATCAACGAAATTTATAATGTTGACGTACGGTGGACGTTTTAATTCTGCTATACACTCGTCGACGTCTCTGTGTGACTTCTTCCCTAGTTGTTCACACACTCTTTGGTATATGAGTAACTTTTGGTCGTCATCCAGGCGAATCCGGCCACTGGGATGGTTCATCTGCAGATAATAGAGGCCTTCGGGAAGGTAACGATATATAATCTCGTCGCGAATCGCATCGACACGGGCTTTCTTCTCTTCTTCCCGGGTGAGCTGTTGAGAACTTGCAAATAGGCCAATTTCTTGCTTGAACGAATTAGACGGCTGCGGTATGAAGCTGCCCTGCTCTACAAAGGCGCGATTGAATACTCGTATGTGGTCATATGGTACACGGCCGACGTGGCACATATACTTTGCGGCCAACTTCAGGCTATCGCATGTCTCGACCCAGGAGCCTGGAAAGTCGATGACTTGCTGTCGTGCATCTTCAAGGGAGTTGTATAAGCCAGGCCTTTTGCCTCGAGTCACAGCGTGGTACTTTGTAACCATGATGGCAGGCAGGAATAAGCGTCATTGCTATGTTGGGATGGAGAGTATGTATGAAGGATGCGATATTGCGCTGCAAACGCGTCGCAAGGCGTCAAGGGTATAGATGGATAGAACTCATGAGAAGGCAGAAATGAAACGTTGGCACAGTTTGAGGCAGATGCGGATTCGTGTCGTCAGAGTGTAGATGCTCTTGCGGGATGAGCATGGGGGCGCCGGAAGTGATTAGGGGCGCGCGTTGCTTTGCGCGGAACCGAGGCATTCTGAACTACCGGTAGTGAAGTGACACATGAACACGGCCTCTTCAGCACGCTGCAACAACATAGTCATGAACATGGCCTCTCCAACACGCTACGCCTACCCCTTCGCCGCTTCCCCAGACATCATCCGGTCACACCAGAAAGACGCCTACTTCTCTGGTGTGCTGCTGGACCAGCTATCGACACTCTTGCGCAAGCTCTATGGCGCGCGCATCGCGCACACGTACGCATCCGAGACGCGAGTCCTCGGAGAGCTACTCTACCTCGGTCTCACCACACTGATAGGAAACCGGACACTAGGCGAGGAATACACAGACATTGTTCAGGTGGAGAGCGAAAGCGGACGACTGCCGGCTTTGGGACGGAGAGCGGGATACATACTAAGCTGCATATTGGGGCCATATCTGCTTGGGAGAGCATTGCCGGCCTTTAGACGAAGGGTGCGCGCAAAACTTGAGGCGAATCTGCGATGGTACGCGCGACAGCAAGCACGAGCACAGCAAGAGGCACAGGAGAATGGGAGCAAAGCACGGATAGGACGGCCTCTTGGTATGCGCCTGCAGAACTACATACTCGAAAACCTCGATACCATCACGTCGCCATCGCCCGTGTACGCCCTCTCTCTGGCGACATTCTACTTTTCCGGGAGTTACTACCACCTCTCGAAGCGCATATGGGGCCTAAGATACATCTTCACGCGACAGGTGCCCGAGGGCGATAACCGCGCTGGGTACGAAGTCCTGGGTGTGCTACTAGTGTTACAAATGGCGGTACAGGCATATCTACATTTACACAATACTGTCACATCGTCGACGGCGGCGGTGGGCGGTGGCCATCCGCAAGGCACGTCAGCCATTGTAGGTGGTGGTGCGGAAGTCTCCCTGGACCCCAATGCCTACAGCGCCAACAACGCGTTGCTGTTCGACGCGGCATCTGCCCTCCCTACAGCGGCGCCATCGGACGTACAAAAGTGGACACACACACCTGCGTTGGAAAAAGCAAGATATGAGCTGGAGAACGAGGAGACAATGGGATGGATTGGTGGTGGCAATCGGAAATGCACGCTTTGCCTGGAAGAGATGAAGGATCCGAGTGTGACGACGTGTGGACATGTCTTCTGTTGGACGTGTATAGGGGACTGGGCGCGGGAAAAGCCCGAATGTCCACTCTGCAGGCAGACGTGTCTAGTGCAGCATGTGCTTCCGCTCCGAGGGTAGGTGGGCGGCATGTAGAATTACAATATCTTCTCGGCCTCATCAATCAGTCGCTCTACCTGAAATGCGCTGTCTCCGCGAGTGAACATGTTGAGCAGTTCACTGCGTCCCTTGCCCTCTTCTGTCTGCACGTAGAACTTTTGCATGCACATGACGAGCCATCTGGCCTCGTCAACGCTCACGCCTCTGTTCTCGATGACCAGGCCCTGGCCCAGCACCAGGTTGTGGCTCTCGGCAAGCTCCTGGTGGAAGGTGATGGTGGTGTGCGGACTCGCGAACTCGCCCCTCAGCTTGAATTCTGCCAGCGTTGTGAACATCAGCGTGGTGGTGTCAAGGTGCGGGTGGGAGAACTGCAGATAGTGCAGCTCGGCAGCCTGCTGCGTCTGAGGCTGTTCCGGTGACGCGGACGAGGCATCGGCGGGTATCTCGCGGGGGACGGGGAGCACGAAGGAGGGGTGTTGCTTTGCGCTGCGGAGAAGTTGGGCAAAGGTCGTGGCCGGAACAGCGAAATGGACGCTCTGTGGATTGGCAGCGTGCCGTAGGCGCCACAGGGCCTGGACTTCTTTCTCGGGGAGAGTCTTGACTTTGTCGAGATCGAGGAAGGAATTAAGCGTCTTGACACCTGGCGGGGGCGCCGAGGGAGAGCCTGAAGCAGAGGGCGGCGGAGGAGGCGACGGCCAAGGGCTCTTTGGTTGCTGTTGGTGTTGGGATTGTGGGGTTGTAGCTGTGGTTGTGGTTGTTTCTGGTGGCGGCGTCAATGGACCGGTTGCGCCGGGCACAATGGCCTGCTTCCTCAGCTCCTCGATCTTGTCCTTGTACTGCTCCTTGAGCTCGTCGAGGTCCCTGAGGCCCTTTTCGCGCGCCTTGTGCTCGAGCTTCTCCTTGTACTTGGCGAGGATGCGCTCCTGGGAGTCGTGTGTGACGAGAAAGCGCACGTCCTGAACGCGGGCAAAGCGGCGTTGGGTAGCGCGGGGGTTGACGAGGGGCTGGCGCAGAGCATGGCGCAGCGTGGGGATGCGCAACGGCATGTTGGATGTACTGTGGACAAGTTTTGAGGCGGCGGTGGTACATGCGGCTTTTGCAATGGGGACTGAATGCACTAAAGAAGCGGGGCCCAAATGCAGGGACGGGAACGTTTACCTAGGCGGCATGGGCTGCTTTGTCTACTGCACTACGCTTCTGTAACGTTGTATCCTACCCGACATATCTACCCCATATCCACCCCATATCGTATACCCGTAGTCTCGTCTGCCCGCGCCCGTCATCCATGCAGAACCCGCCCTCGCTGCACACGACCCGTCGGCCCCTCTCCTCGTCGTCGCTAGAGACCTCGTCCTCGACGGGCTGCTGCTAGCGGGCATGGGTGCAGTTCACAGCAAGTCCAGCGATGCAGGCGACCTCTATCTGCGCGACCAGACTCGATGTAAGCTTCGACTTGCGCCTGTCCCTTGTTCCCCTCGACCATTGCCTCGGCCGCGCTCTGCTAACACGACCCCCCAGTCTCGGTGGCCTCGCTCAACATCACCAATGCCCGCAACCGCACGCTTCTCAACATCTCGCCCAATGCCTTCCCCGCCACCCGCTATGCTGCCAGGCGCGACTTTGGCGACGACAGTGTCGTCGAGTACATCCAGGACCCCGAGCCAGCCCACCACCAGGACGGCCCCCCAGCCTTCCTCCTGCGCCTGCCCAACGACGAGGAACTGACCTTCAACTTCACCTTCATCCTGCGCCAGCACCTCGCAGTTCCCACCAGCTACAGCACCAGCACCGCCTCCCACGTCGCCCCCACCGGCCTGGTCGACACCAACATCAATGGCTTGACCTTTATCTTCGCCTCGAGCTCAAAGGACCTGGACAACCTCGTCACGCGCGAGTTCCATGCCAACCCCAACCTCCACAAGAACCCTCAGGTCGAGCTGGTCGGCGACTACTCCACCGGCGGCCATTCGTCGGTTCAGTTCCAGTGGTCGTGGAAATGGACGCCGCCCCGCACCCCAGAGTCGCGTGGTGGGGGCTGGCGCACAAGTTGCAGTGTGTGTATACCATCCCCTATCTGTAGCCGCGCCTGCTGATATCCTCTAGTTTGTCGAGTATGACCAGCGCGCACACCGGCTCGAGACGCTGGCGAGCTTTACATTCTGGGTCCAGAGTCCGTTTCCTCACCCCCCGTTCCATCTCCAACATGCCCGCTGACCACTCCAGACACGGCGCGCCAGCTGCAGAGCCCAAAGTCGCCTTCACCGCGCCTTGAACTTGGCGTCCCTCCCCGACTGCGCGTGCCCTCGGCACAATCGATAGAGTCACGAGTGAGCGACTCGGCGGGCGAAGACCGCGAGTGGGACAACATACCCCCGAGATCGCCAATCTGCGAGCCCATTCCCGAGCATAGCCTGGGCCTCATACCAAGCCAGACGACCACTCTGTCAAGCGGGAGCGCGCCGGTGAAGCTCGACGTGTCCCGTCCGGGCGAGGATCTCAGTCAGACCGACGATGGGCCGCTATTCCGCGCCACGATGAAGTCGCTCGAACAGAAGACGGGCAACATGCGCACAAGATGGAAGAAGGTTCTCAAACGCGCCGAGTCAGCCATGGAAGCTCAAGTGGCATGCAACAATGCCATGGCCGACCTCATGGATGCACTCAGAGAAGCCTCGTCGTCCAATGCAAACGCAGTGCAGCCGGCTATTGATCACTACTTCGACAAGATTGCCAAGGAGATCCTGGGATACGAAAAGTCAAACACCACCAACATTCAAAAACTCATCATTGATCCCATATACAAGCTTTACAACATCGACATCAAGCAGGCCGAGACAAAGCGGAAAGACTTTGAGGAGGAGAGCAAGGACTACTACCAGTATCTGGGAAGATACCTTGGGCAACGACAGGACTCGCTGAAAGAGAAGAAACGCGCAGAGACGGATTCCAAATACCAAGCAAAGAGGCGCAACTTTGAACTGAAGCGCTTCGACTACTCGTCCTTTATGCAGGATCTGCATGGAGGCAGGAAAGATCAAGAAGTCCTCTCCCATCTCACGCGATATGCCGATGCCCAGGCCAAGCGCTACCTAGAGACTGCAAAAAAGATCGAGACCATGTTGCCACATCTAGAGGCCTTGAGTTGCGAGGTGAAAGAAGCAGACAAGGAGTTTCAGATTCAGAGAACCGAAAGAGAGGAGAAGAGGCGAGCACTCGAGACGATCAAGAAGACGTTCGACGATGTGCCTGCGCCTTCGCTCACATCTCCCGCCGCATCATCGAGTAGCGTACCCCGGACAATGTCAAGATCCGACCCAGAGCCGCCTCCTGGCCGCAAGGGTAGCCTTGTGCCCATGTTCCAGAGCACAGTCATGCCTCCTCAGACTATCTCATCTACGAGCATTCCCTCCTCAATAGCATTACCACAAAGCCCTGAGGCTACCAAAGCGACTCTAGCCATGGTGGCGCCACAGCCGGACAAGTTCAAAGGAATCAGAGACCTTGAAGAAAAGGATCCTGCTGCAATGGCCGAAGCTGGTTCAGGCGCACATCGCAAAGAAGGTCTTTTGTGGGCACTGAGCAGACCTGGAAGCCATGTGGATCCCAAGGGCTTGAACAAGCAAGCCTGGCACAAGTAAGTACATTCTGTCGAAACTGAATAAACGATGCTGACAATGTCCAGATTCTGGATCGTGCTTGATCAGGGCAGACTCTCGGAGTATACCAACTGGAAGCAAAGTCTGGAGCTCCATATGGAGCCAATCGACCTTCGCATGGCTTCGGTAAGGGAAGCGCGTAACGCGGACCGTCGGTTTTGTTTCGAAGTCATCACCCCACAATACACTCGAGTGTATCAGGCAACCAACGAAGAAGACATGAAGTCATGGATCAGTGCAGTCAACAATGCTTTGCAGACAGCCGTTGAGGCAGCAGGAAAGCCCGACCGGCCATCCACCGACTCGCTGCCTGGACAAACACATCGCGACATCGCGTCAGTTCTTACCGGCAAAAGTCCATCAATGTCAAGTCATCGCAACACATACGGCTCCAAGGCACCAGCGCGACATGCTACAGTGGGCGATCGGCCTGGCGGTTACCGACGAGAAGAGACGTTTGGCGACGAAGGCAAGCTGCTCAAGCAAGTACGAGATGCGGATGCTGGCAACAAGATGTGCGCGGATTGCGGTACTGAGATCAAAGTTGATTGGGTTTCCATCAATCTCGGCATCATCATCTGTATTGAGTGCAGTGGTATCCATCGGTCACTAGGCACGCACATCACAAAGGTCCGCTCTTTAACGTTGGACGTTACGTCCTTTACTCCCGATATCATCGAGATACTGCTCAAGATCGGCAACCGCATCAGCAATGCTATCTGGGAAGCAAGGCTAGACCCAGGGCTGAAGCCGGGGCCAATGTCGACAAGAGAGCAAAGGCTGCACTTCATCACGTCAAAGTATGCTGATCGGGCATTCGTGGCACCCATAACACCAAACATGTCACACTATGCAAATCCAGAAGAGACGCTGTTGGCGTCGGTTAAGAAAAACGACATCCAGAACGTACTCTACGCGCTGGCACTCCGAGCGAATGCCAATGCGCGCGATCGGTCACGAGGCACACACGCAGTATTTCTCGCGCTTGCAGCCGCCGACCCAGCATCGCCTTCAGCGACAGCATCACCTGCAAGCTCTCCAGGCTCAGCCACTCGCCCAGGCACAGCACAGCCTACCCGCAAAGCCTTCCCAGTCGCAGAGCTACTGTTGCAAAACGGCGCAGAATTACCGATGCTGCCTGCACCCATCCCGCTTGGGCACTCGGCACGGAGCTATCTTGACTTCAAGACAGAGCAACGTGTGGGCAAACGTCCAGCACCTATGGTGGGAAGTCAGCCCCCACCCAACGTAGAAAAACTGCCGTCCTTGCCGCCTATCATGGCAGGCAACGGCAGCTCTCCATCCGAACGGGCGCGTGAACGGGACGCAAGACTGCAAAAGCGAGTCTCGGCAAGCGGAAGGTTGGTCAAAACCCCGAACATGGATTTGGGTGAAGGTAAGCGCGGCTCGTAGGGCTAGCTGATGCTTATTTGTTTTCTGTTCTTCTAGCGTATACCTTCCCTGGGCGGCGTGTGGACTTGTGCCATGGGCGTCAACGGGCTGAAGACGTTGCCATTGACGCGACGAGGAGATGAGTGCAATCTAGTCCAGGTTGGATGGAGGCGCAGTGCTGTTGGGGATGCGTGTATGTGTGGCCTTTGATGCATTGTACCATGTTCGCAGTGAACAGCGATTGGCTTGTTCTTCTGAGAGTCAGAGTTGACTCAGCGACCTTGGAGTCATATTTTTTTTTGGCGTGCTGTGTGTATAGTGTAATGAGTAATGGCAGAGCATGGAAGTCACGACGTTGTGAGATGCAAAGGCTGTGAGCCGGAATAGCGGTCCTTAACGACCCCACTACCACTACCGTGTCTGTGCGCGAAACCAAAATTACTTTGAAAGTTATAACCGCACGCACCCCGCCGCCGCAACTGCGAACGCACTCACTACCGCAATCATGGCGTCCGCATACTCGAACCTGCCCATGGACGGCGACGACGAATTCGACGAGAGCCAAATCGACTTTACCGACATTGAAGACCAGTTCCAGGTGCGGCTCGACGAGGGGCTCGATGCCTTTGTCGTGATCGATGGATTGCCCATAGTGCCCGAGGACAGCAAGGCCAAGCTCGTCAAGTTTGTGCTGAGGAAGCTGAACAGCGTGGGCAAGGTCAAGGACGACGGCGTGCACATGCCCGTCGGTGAGTCAGGCAAGACGGAAGGGTATGTTGCATCTGGCGCAGCGGGCAATGGCAGACTGGACCTAGGCTGACGGCATCACAGATATGCCTTTGTCGAATACAGCGCGCCCGCAGAGGCGGTCGCGGCCGTCAAGCAGCTGAACGGAACTGCGCTCGACAAGAAACACACCATGGCCGTCAACAAGCTCACCGACATCGACCGCTACGGCAAGGAGGGCCGCATCGACGAGGAATACCACGCACCCGAGA